TTCACAGTGCATTTGGATTTTTCACAACCCAGGTCTAGGCAGAGAAAAGGAGCTCTCACATGGTTAGTTTTCATGCAGGGAATTCAAGTCTCTATTCAAGAACAGATATCCTTAAGTATGTCATCAGAATACTTAGCATGTCACTCTAGGTAGATAATTTATTCCTGAGAGTGCAAGTTCCCTGAACATGTACAGAAACATCTTATATATCTATGTATTGCAAGAGGGAAATGGTTTTTATTTTTCACACACTGAGAGCAAGATTCACCATGTGTGGAGTGATTCATTGAAATTCATATCCTCTATAATTTCTGCCTCATGTGTATAGAAGACAAGTTCTCTTTAGTGTTTCAAGTGAATTCAATCTAAATTTAAATTCCACGTTTGAAAGGATTTTGAGGTTTTATTAAAACATGGAAGATTTAGACACATAACATCACTTGACAAATTTTTGCTTTGGCATTGAGCATTCTGAATATTCCTTTGCAAACTGTGATGTATGTTTTAAATGGAAAGCTACTTATTCCAGAGGAAGTTTTGGAGATGGAATTGTTACTGAATTTCCTGAAGACGACTAAGATCATCTCTAACAAGCACTAAGGTAAGTTTCTCAATTGTTTTACCTCTTATTTAAGATTATCACTAGTCATTTAGATAAACTACTATTCTTATCATTTTCCAAATATAATAATAGAATATTTCCTCCTCACTCCAATAATTCTAAACAGATGCGGTAATCACTGGTTACCTTCAGAAGTATATCGTGGTAGTTGTGGTTATATGCCATTTTAAAAAGTAAAGATAAAACTTATGAAGATTAACCATTTTGTAAGATGTAACCATTTTGTAACCTGACTCTGTCACATCAGGTACTTTGCTTCTGCCAGGAGACTACTTCCTTTAATAATCAAGACTTATCATGAGGATGACAACATGATTTAAATATACATTACACACAGAGATCATGAATATGAACACAAACACATACATGGAGGACCCTTGCAGGGATCACATTTCTGCAGATGATAGGCATTTCTCTGGCTTCTTTAGAGATACATTGGTGATGATTCTTGTACTTATTGCATGGTTAAATGTTTCTCCCTATTATTGGTTTAGCTGTGAGTACCTTATGTCTCTTTGGTGAACTGCAGTTGTTACTATGAGTCATTGATTCAGTTCTGACTCACAGTGACCCTGCATAGGGTTTCTGAGGGTATCAATGTTTATAGGAGCACAAAGCCTCATCTTTCCCCCTTGGAGCGACTGGTGGATTTGAATTGTCCAACCCTTAATCCCTCTGCCACCAGGGCTCCTTTCCTTGGTGGGCACACAATCATAACATGAACTCAAGTGCTGTGTGCTTTCCCAGTGCTCTGCTGCATGTGTTCACATGTGTTCCCTCAATCACCTCTCAGAACAACCAATGAGGTGGACATTATTATCTCCTCTTACAGATAAAAAACAAGGATGTAAGATGCCAAGAAATGTATCCCAGATGCAAAGAGTTTTATATAAAAGATGCTAATCTGTACTTTCTAGTTTTAAATCCAATACATTTAGCCATTGTGACAATCATTTTCAATATATTTTTTAGAAGAGACTGGAGGTCATCCTTTGCAGGGAGATTGGAGAAGAAAACAGGAGTTGCAAGTCAAAAGGAGTCTAGATTCATGGGTAAAAAAAAGGCTGTGTGCTGATGAGCAGGAGACTGGCTTGCAGAATGTGTCTTTTTGTTATTGAAATGATTGTATATTCCTGAGTGTTTTTGCGTACATAAAAACAAAACAAAACAGAGGGAATAGAAGCAAATATGATGGATAAAGGGAATTATCATCATTGTAATGAAACAAAATATGATAAGATGAATGCAGAACTAATGTTCTCCATGTAAACTATCACTCAATTCACAATAAAGCTTTAAAGAAAAAAAAGAGAGGTGGTGGGGGCAGGCTCTGTAGAATCACACTGACTGCAAACCACAAAGTCAGGAGCCTACCTGCTACTCTGAAAAAATAGGCTTTCTGCTCCTGCAAAGATTTACAACCTTGAAAAGCTTATACAGGTCCACTATAAATCAGACCTGATTAAATGGCATTTAACAACACTAGAGGCTGCAAACTAAAAGTTTGAATTTTGAACCCACAAGGTACTACACACTAGGAAAGACTTGGTAATCAGCTCTCTTTAAGACTGCAGCCTGGAAAGCATTATAGCACAATTCTACTCCTACAGGATCTCTAGGAGTTACAATTGACTTGAAAACACACAGCAATGCCATGGGGAAAGGAGAAGGGGTCCTTCATGATTAAAAAAAAAAAAAAAAAAAGTGCTATATTTTTCTTAATATTTGGGAATACCAACATGCTGGTGTGGTACTATAAGTTAAGCATTTGACCGCCAACCCAAGATAGGTGACTCAAACCCACCAGCTGCTTCTTGGAAGCCCTATACAGTGTTCCTATGAGATTTTTGAGATTAGCAAGGGCTGTCCACCATAATTTCTTTGGAAAACTGTTGCCTATCCACTGTTTAGCCTATTTTTATCTCCTTTAACTTCTTTTGTGTCCCAAAGCTCAAAGAACTTTTTAAAAGAACATGATTTGATTCCCTCATGGAAATACTGTCATTTTGGTGTGATGTAAGTAGAAGAGTGCAGAATTGTTCAGGGAAAGGTTAGCGAGATGGAAACATCTTCTACAGAAGTATATGGTGGTAGTGGTGGTTATATGCCATGGAGTCGTTCTGACTCATAGCGACCCTGTTCAGAGTTTCTAGGGTGTAAATCTTTATGGGAGCAGAAAGCCTCATGTTTCTCCTATGGAACAGCTGGTAGTTTTGAATTGCTGACCTTGAGGTTCTCAGCCTGATTCATAACCACAACACTACCAGAGTGCCTTTCAGAAGAATGTAGAGCCTGATATGTCTAGAACAATATGCTTAGAAACAGTAACTTCACATTTTGATATTATTGTTAAATATGAGTTTCAAATGAAAGATTCTAATTCAGTTCTTTCTAGTTTTAAAACCAAAACATGTAGTCACTGTAACAATAATTTTCAACATTTGTGAAGAAAAGTTTGGAAACCTGCTTTCCAGGGAGATTAGAGAGAGGACAGGGGCTGAAGGAACCCTGACAGCACATTGGTTAAGTGTTTGGTTGCAAACTAACAGACAACAAATACTCTGCTAGAGAAAAGACTCAGAAATCTGCTCCTTGAAAGACTGTTGCTGCTGTTAAGTACCACTGAGTTGGTTCTGACACATAGCTAGGGTTTGTATTGAGAGACTGGTGAGTTTAAATGGCCAGCCTTGGGTATTGCAGTTAACCCTACAATGAAGTTCTTCTCCGTCATTTGAGTCAGTATTGATTTGAAGGCACACAACCACAGCAGCTGAAGAGGCCTCGCAGGAAAAAAGTACCAAACGTTTTCTTAATATATGAGAATATCAACAGGCTATATGTTTTTATATCTATATCTTAATATTCTGTGGATAAAACTGCTTTGCATAAACTTCTCTATTGGGAAAAATGTGTATAATTTTCTAGAAATAATTTTTGGCGTGACTTCAAACACTCAAGTTAATTATAACATTATTCACAATTTGCAAAAGGTGAAGGATATCACCTTAATGTTCATCAACAGATAATTACACAAATAAATTATGGTATATGCATACAATGAGAAACTATTTATCCATGAAGTGAATTCAAGTCCTGATACATAGTAGAGGAAATTTCACCTTTGGAAACATTGTTCTGAGTAAAGTAAGTCAGTCATAAATGGACAGATATCTATCCCAATTATATGAAATATAAGTGCTTGAATCCACAATCAACAACCATGGAGTAGCAGTCAAGAAATCAAATTATATATTATATTAGGTAAATCTCCTGAAAAAATACCTCTTTAAAATGCTAAAGAGCAGCTATATCTGTTTGAGGACTAAGATACAACTGAACCAAGCCATGATGTTTTATTTAGCCTTGTATGCATGTGAAAGTTAGACAGTGAATATAAAAGATAATAGAACCATCAATGCATTTGAATTATGTGGTTGGAGGAGAATACTGACGGTACCATGGACCACCAAAAGAATAAATTTGTGTTGGAAGAGGTATAGCCAGAATGCTTCTTAGAAGCCAGGATGATGAGACTTTGTCTCTCATACTTCTGACATGTTATGAGGTGGTACCAGTCATGAAGAAGGATATCAAACTTGGTAAAGTGGAGGTTTGGCAAAAAAGAGAATGACCCCCAGTGAGAGGACTGACACATCATATCAACAACAGTTGCTGTGATGATTAGAGACAAGGCAGTTAAAACATTCTATTGTACACAGGGTCACTATCAGGTAAAGCCAACTCAATGGCACCTAACAACAATAACAATGTGGAATAACTAGCATAGAAACTGTACAGAGACCAAAGATTATTAATGGTTGGCAGGGGCTGGCCGAGTGAGAAAGAAAGAAATACTCAATGCTTAGGGAACATTGAGCTTATGTTACGGTTGATAGGACATTTTTGAAATGGATAAAGAAGGTGGTCTAACAATATAATGAAAATAAGTCAGTGTTATGAAATTATACAATTAACTGACTGATATATCATTGTATATGTATGGATTAGCAATGGACTGCAAACTGCATGATCGGTGGGTCAACCCCATCAGTCTCTCCTAGAAAATCCCAGACAGGGTCGTTATGAACCAGAAACAACTTAATGGCACTTAACAACAATATATATAGTGTGTATATGTATATATTTAGTTGTTATATATGTATGTATATATGACAAATGTTAAATAGGTATGTATTTTGTTACAGATTTATCACAATGAAAGGAAAAAATAGACCTAGAATCTTTATCTACCTTTCAAAAATCTAAAAGAAATATGTAAATCAATATAATGAATACATGTATTGATTATTAGAATAAAAAAGCTTAGTAAATCCAAGAATATTCATCTTTTCTTTTTGCAGGGAATGGTAACAGTGACATGAAATTCATGGAGAGTAGGAACAACGTGACAGAGTTTGTTCTTCTGGGGCTTACAGAAGATCCAAAAATGCAGAAAATCGTATTCGCTGTGTTTTTTGTCATCTACACCGTCACTGTGGTGGGAAATGTGCTCATTGTGGTCACCATCACTGCCAGCCCATTGGTGGCATCCCCCATGTACTTTTTCCTGGCTTATCTCTCTATTATTGATACTTGCTATTCATCTGTCACCACCCCTAAACTGATTGTAGATTCAGTCCATAAAAAGAAGACGATTCTATTTAGTGGTTGTATGACACAAATCTTCGGAGAACATCTCTTTGGAGGTACTGAGATTATCCTTCTTACTGTGATGGCTTATGACCGCTATGTAGCCATCTGCAAACCCTTGCATTATACAACCATCATGAATCGAAGAGTGTGTGGTTTTCTAGTAGGAGTCTCATGGATGGGAGGCTTTCTTCATTCTACCATACAGATCCTTTTTATATTTCGATTACCCTTCTGTGGCCCTAACATCATAGATCACTTTAGTTGTGATCTAAATCCTTTGCTCAATCTTGCCTGTACTAATACCCACATTCTAGGGCTCTTTGTTGCAGCCAACAGTGGGTTCATCTGCCTGCTCAACTTTCTCCTTTTGCTGCTTTCCTATGTGGTCATCTTGTACTCCCTAAGAACCCAGAGCTCAGAGGGGAAACGCAAAGCCCTCTCAACTTGTGCTTCCCATATCACAGTGGTCATCTTATTTTTTGTGCCCTGCATATTTGTATACATGAGACCACCTGAACCTTTGCCTATTGACAAAGCAGTTACTGTGTTCTATACCGCCATCACTCCCATGTTAAATCCTTTAATCTATACCTTCAGAAATGCCCAGATGAAAAGTGCCATTATGAAACTTTGCAGTAGGCAAGCTATTTCAGCTGACAAATAAATGTTTCTAGATCTTAAGATTGATTCAACTGAGGAAAGGGTCAAAAGATTTCAGAGATAAGTACTTATGAGATGAATTTCAAGAACTAAATCATTACAATGAATTGGTTTTTCATTTAGCAGATTAGAAGTAGGTACAAGAAAAGATTGAAAACCTAAAACCCAGGAGCATACCTTGCATACTTGAAAGTTTGACCAAATTCAGACTTGATTTTGTTAGCATTCTCCATGTTAATGTGTGCATGACCTTTCTGTTTGATAAAAAAGTAAAAGACATAAAATACTTTATTGGCATTGAGCAACAAACTGTTTAAATGACAAGATATTGGTGCTTCTATTATTAAATTTACAGTAAGGGAATGGGGGAACTGGCATGGTACCAAAGCAGATGTATGAAAGAATTGGGAACCAAAGTTTGATTGATTTCACAGACCATTTTTTAAATTGGTATAATACTTTGTAAAGCAACGATGGTAGGTGAGATAATTATAATAGATACTATTTATTGAACTGGGAACTGTGCTGTTAACATTGCATAAGCTAGTTTATTAGCTATAACTAGAAATCTAATCATCTTTACTAATTTCTTTGCCAATTTTCATGTACCGCAATTTTGGTCATTTGTTGTCAGCAACATTATCATACCAAATGTTGAAATGCTGAAACCATGATGAGTCACTTAATCTCTATAGTAGGCTATGAGGATTAGGTCATGTCTCTAAATTTCCTAATGGAAATGAAAACCATTTAATATTATTCATGTCGCCCATTGTAGGTTGACAATCCAACAGAAAGAGCGATGGCTCAAATAAAAGAATATTTGAATGTTTGGTGGAGATTGGTATTTATTAAAGCCATACTTCATAAAGTACTTGCCCACTAAAAACAATGGTTTCTAGCATGAAGGACACTGTCTGGTGCATAATAGGTATTTAATAGATAATTAAAAGTATAAAGGAAGATTAACAAATTGAATAAAATGTACAGAAAAATAGTACTGCACAACAGGGTACTTTTTCCTATCTTTATGCAATACAGATGCAGAGATTTCTAGACCTCATGTTGGAAAACCAGAATCTGTTTGTGTCGCTGTGGGTTAATATGCTGGACTGCAAAATTGTTTGAACCACAAGGTCATCAATTCTAGCTCACCAGTTGCTCCTCAGAAACCCTATACAGAGTCATTATGGATCAGAACTGACTTGAAGGTGCTTAGCAACAACAACAGAAACAAACCAAAATATAGGAAATGCAACAAAATGCTTCAATGTCTGAGCAAATATTTAACCATGCTATTCTTCCTGCTGTCTCGATTTTACTATGTTATGAATGCAATCTCTGTATGTTAATTTTCTATGTTCATTGATCTTTGGTATAATTTCACTATTAAAGTTGTTTTTAAATATGTGCTGATAACACACAAAATAACTTCAGCATAAATGCATTCCATTTCTTGCTTCATTCATTAACAAACAAACACATATTTTTGACCCAGTGTGTATTTTGTGCCCAGTAACAATTACTCCTTCAAAAAGGCAGATTGGGTAGACCTGTAGTGAGCAGCTTGGTCAACAACAACATGGAACACCGGGCCAAGAGGGCTCATGAGATAGTGTTGGAACTCTGAAACAAATATAAAGATATGTTTGGAGGATCGGAGAGTTTACAGCTGGAGAATTTGAAGGGAATCCAAAAATCCATTGCATTCTGGATCAAGACACTCAGCTGTTCCAGGAGCCGCCATCTTGGGAGAGAACATCTTGATTGTATCAGGATTGATAGTATCAGGAGAGAACATCTT